AATTAAACAAGCCTAGTATTAATCTATGCATTGTTTTCACAGAAAAAAATCTATATATTAATACAATGGACATTTTTTTCTTTTAATAATACGAAAAGGTCTACTTTAGCTTAATTACTCCTGTGCATTTTGTTGAAAATTTTTGAAATTTTGCAGGGAGGTTTGTTTTTTATGAGGTTTGATGATATTTAATTTTGATGGTTAAAGGTCATCGGAATGCGGAGATAAAGGGGTCGTGTGTATCTCCAGTTGGGTCAGACTTAATGACGATTTTACTTGTCATTAGTACTTATAATTTTTTTATAAAACTCATCTCTACCCTGAAAATTAAGCCTTTTGCCATATTATAATAGTTAAAAATATAAAGAATTTTTAAAATAAATTGTGATAAGAGATGGCGCCACCAAACGTTGCTGGGAAAGTTAAGCAAGTGGTTGCTGGTTTTTTGAAGGTAGAAGTGAGTTTTATATAAAAAAACTTGCACATTTCAATTACGAATTAAATCTTTTAAGTCCCTTGACATTTAGCCGATAGCATCGATCCCCTTTATACAAAATTTTAGAAATTTTCGACAAAAGACACAAAGTTAAGCTTCAAATAGGGTGAACAAAATCGTCTCAAACACACACACTAACATCCATACATGTAGAAAAAAATCCCTAAATTTGTTTGCATTTCTCGACGTTTTAAGGTGGCAGGAGTCTAACAATTAAAACTCTTAGGGGCCATTTTTTTGACTGAACTCCACACTTACCCTGTGTTATATACTGTATAACAGCCGGAAATACGAAAATTCTACATACCTCCTGACTAATCGAACCATATACATGCAATTTTTGATCCGCTCTATCAATGTTTATAGCGTTATGGATGACAATTCGATACTGCAAATCTTGGCATGCAATTCGACACAAACAGAATTGTAAACGCCCGAATTGCACACTAGAAGACCTCAAAATAGTTACTCCACATTCCTTTAATAACTGTGTCAATGGCTTAATGTAACCAGTATTTTTAGCATGTTCTGTAGGAATTTCTGTATTGTAACTGGATGATCGTGTTGCCCGACTTCTGGGCAGTTCTGGCTTAACTGTGTGAAGATAATGAATGCGTGAAGTTACATAATGGACCGGCTCTGAGCGCCCCGGACGGATCATCAGAGTCACTCTGATGATCTCGTCCTGAGACACACACTAATAACTGCACCCCTAGTAGTGACAGGAAACATAGTAGTACGTTCAGGAAATGTTTGGTCCCGATGTGTGTGCCCTTCATATTGCAAACAGCTATTTTTTTTTTTTTTAGAAATATAATGCTGGGTTGCACATAGCGTTTCCAGGAATGCTTCCTTCGTGTTGCTTTATTTCCTTGACCTGCTCTCTGTTCAGATTTATAGGACTAGATGGGATGACAGTTCGGACACTTACGAGTTGTTACAGCGGTTGCAACGTCTGTGAATGAGTCTGTTGCAAGGTAGCAAGGTGCTTGTATGCTTCCGTGTCTGATCGTATCGAAGATATTTAGGTAAGAGGAGATTTTACAAAGTTCTAAGAATCCTTTACGAGAAATTTCGTGTTTGCTATGATATTGTGTGAATTTTTTCTATCTCATTACGTTCGCTTAATACAGTTTCATTCGATTTCAATGCCTTCTTCCTTGTGGGTAAGATTTTTTTTAATGGGTAAGAAGTACATTTGCCTGAGGGCCCCAAACCAATCTTTTATATTTCCCGAAGAAAAATATCTAACACTTTACATGGGGTTTCCTAATTCAAATTTGCCTAGGCCTCATGAAACTATAATGCGCCACTGTCATGATATATGAATAAGTCATAAAAGTAAGATTTATTTTATGTTAAAAAGACCTGTTTAAAGAGGAAACCTGTCAGACAGGAAAAAATATTCGGTACAGTGCGATTCCTGCTTACGCAAGTTTTACTGTGTATATACAGAGGGTGGAAAAAGTAGTTATACAGTTGTTAATGTGGGAAAAACATGCATAAATTTAAAAAAAAAACTTATTTTTATGCATAAATTAAACCACAAGTAGGGAATACTAAATAATAAAAGAGAGAGAGGGAAATAACAAACACTAAACATCTGTTTTCTCAGATTTATAACTGTATACACACAGTAAAACCTATGTAAACCGCGGAATTGCATAATTTTTTTTCCATTTAGGCATATTTCCGTTTTATTGAGGTTTCGTTTTAGACAGGTTTCTGCGCCGATATGCGCCACATTAGTAATCTACGATTCCCAAAATTTAAATTTGGATATTTTTATTACAGTAATGAGTTTATACAGGATTAGTATGGGGGCCTCTTGTTAGTGAGGCCACAGACAATTACCATTTTTACAATAGGGTATCCAGTATACGTTAAGAATTCATTACATATTCGTATTTATTCTGAGAAAAATTAATTTTAATTGTTACTTGTTATACAGTATACTTGTTATACTTGTTACTAAATTTCTTACATATTTTATGTTAAAATTTTCTCAGAATTTGTATGAAATTTAGTAAATCCCTGCTTTATTATTTCACAAAATAAAGTAATAATTTATTCCATTTTTATTATTTATTAATATTATTATCATTTAGTAACATATGAAATTATTATTTTATGATATTTTATTTAGTTTTTTTTATGTATTAATAATTAATAGCGACTATACGAGACAATTAAATTTGTGACATTAATTGAAGGAGTGAGTGGAAAAGTAGTACAACCTAAAATAGAAAATTCGTTTATTCTATTACGATTAATTAATAATTAATTTGAAAATAAAGGAATAATAAATGTCAGTAGTATTAAGTATAGTAAAACCTATCTAAAGCGGACTCGCACGATATCAAATATTTTATTCGGTTTGGCAGGTTTTCGCTTTGAACAGGTTATTTCTAACACAGAAACTTGCTGGGTTCTGTAGAATTATTTCCATTTAGGCATTTAGGTTTTCGTTGTAAACAGGTTATTTCTAACACAGTAACTCGCTGGGTTCTGTAGAATTATTTCCATTTAGGCATTTAGGTTTTCGTTGTAAACAGGTTATTTCTAACACAGAAACTCGCTGGGTTCTGTAGAATTATTTCCATTTAGGCATTTAGGTTTTCGTTGTAAACAGGTTATTTCTAACACAGTAACTCGCTGGGTTCTGTAGAATTATTTCCATTTAGGCATTTAGGTTTTCGTTGTAAACAGGTTATTTCTAACACAGAAACTCGCTGGGTTCTGTAGAATTATTTCCATTTAGGCATTTAGGTTTTCGTTGTAAACAGGTTATTTCTAACACAGTAACTCGCTGGGTTCTGTAGAATTATTTCCATTTAGGCATTTAGGTTTTCGTTGTAAACAGGTTATTTCTAACACAGTAACTCGCTGGGTTCCGAAGAATTATTTCCATTTAAGCAGATTTTCGTTGTAAACAGG